GCTAACCGCGACGGTTGTTACAACATTAATTCTATTATTATTACGGTGTCAGGTTCAAGAACACGCTCGACGGTAATCTATCATTAGATTGTTCTCGATCACGAGAGTTCACTAGCCTCTCGTGATGCATACTATTTGTTTTTATCGTATAAATAGCGTAGGTGTATTTAAATGATATATATTAAAAAGAAAAAATTGTATATAAAAGAAAATTATAATACTATATATAATGTTATATAGGAATGGATAAATATTCACCTTTACACAATCAGACCCAAAAGGCTTTCGGTTGACATATGTTGGTAAAAAGGCCACAATCCTGAGTAATCTTCAAAAAATTTTAACCATCGCTGATTGTTTATTAAAAAATTATTAACAAATAAAATATCGGTGATTTGAGTATTCTTTAATGACTAAAAAGATAAGAACTGATAAACGAAATATATAATTGTATAATTATAAGCCATATAAATTTGCAACTATCTACATATAAAACATACTATATATATCACATCAGATGATGTAGAATGGACCTCATTTTTCGATCGAAAGCCGGAATTCTTTTCGGCTTGACTGTCTAAAGATAAATATTCATCTATAAATGTATTATAAAAGATATTGAAATAGTTATATAAGGAATTATATGAATATAGAATTATATAGAAAAATTCTTATATACAAAATAATAAAGTTATATACACACACAGGAATATAATATATGTAATTAAAATTCTAATACAAGGGACATATGCAATTTTAATATACATATAGCACTCACACGCGCAAACACATACATTAATATCTATAATTAAATGTAACATTAATATAATTATATTTCAATATAATATTAAATACATAATTAAATTATATATAAACATTATATATATAGACAAAAATTATTTTGCCATATAATAAAAACTGTAAGCTTCCGTAAATCGTGGTCGATTGTTATTAAGAAATTTTAACTTACCCCTTCGTAGTTTTAGAGTGACGGGATCCGAAGAGAGCCGCAAACATTTTAATACTGAAACAGATTAACAATATGAGAAATCAATTTTAAAAACTGAATCTGCATTTATACTTTTATTAATAATACATACTACGTTATATATAAAACAGGAAAGAAGTTTAGGACTTAACTGTTATTTACACATATAAATCACATTGTTATATTTTAGTATATAAAACTTTACTAATCTCTCTTTCATGTGATTTGGAATATTGTTTATATATCGGCTATAATCCATTTCGCGAATCCTGAAGTTCAGAATGTCAGGTTATATTTATCCGAAATGGAACTAGCATATCAATAATCTTTATTGGTTTCTTTGAAGATATTTCCAGTAGAAATATTTCCAAAAATTTTATTCCTTTTCTATATCAAATATGTTTAATATTAAATATGTTTTATATCAGATATGTTTGTATATATATATATATATATATATATATATATATATATATACATATATATATTGAATAAAATATAATAAATACTAATATATGTGTAAAATATTAATTATTGTTACATTAATCATTTACCAATTAAGTTAATTATAAAATTATATATGTTGAACAAATAATCTTACAAATTCTATTTTCTGATGTATTATCAAGTTCGATTTCGATGGTCATGTCAATTGACGAGATTAAAATCTTGATTAATTCATTGTAGTAGTTTTTTGTGTATTCAATTATGTCAAATTGTGTTGGATAAATAATGTGTAATTTATGACAAAATATAAACGCAAAAAAAAAAAGATTGGCCCTCGAAACATGTATGAAAAGATCGCATCTAGAGAATATCAAGAGTGTCTCAAAAGTATAGTAAAATAATTCTTTTAAAATTTATTTGTTTTGTTTTATTATTGACATTATAATATTCTTTTAATAAAATTTTAATATAAAAGCTATTTATGATAGAGTACAGATATAAAAACTAACATATAATCTGCTTTTCGGCTCTATCTGAAACCTCAATTAAATGTTATACCCGATATTTGTTTGTAATTGCTTTCTATCAAATTATATGATAGTTTTCAGATAATATTTCATTTATTTATTTATTTATTTTTTAACCAACTGATTATTTTTAAGAACGGATAAAAATTGAAATTTGAGAAATTGATTCGACATATATTCATTGGAAACTACGGAAATATGCTAAAAAGTGTGATATAAAAAGAAAAAGTAAAATAGATTTATATAGAAATCTACACATATATACATGAAACAATAATATTATGAAAAAATATTTCACTATTGTGTAGATATTTATAGATAACATTATTTGCAAAAAAGAATTATTTTTTTATATATACACAAAAATTCTTTATACAAGTCGATTTAGTAAGCAATGAATGTAGAAACTACAAGTATTTTAATGAATTATTTGAATTTTTTTTTATTGTATTTTTTTTTTATCAATATTAAAATAATTTTAACTATGTAGTTTTAATAATAATTAATAATTATTTTAATT